CATTGACTCGATAGAGCAAGCGGAGCAAATGACCATCGAGGGCACATCCAAGTGGTCATGCAAGATTGCCATCACAGGTACCAGATGCTGCATTCTATCGGGACATGAACCCGGACACTTTTCCAGTATCTCTCTATCTCTCTTTCTATAGTGTTTGGTTTTGGTTTGAAAAAGTTGTTGGGACTCTTGTGCAAATATTTTTTCACTTTGATTTTGCACACAGCAAGGCTATATAGTGAAGGTTGTTTCATTTCATATGCAACAGTCGGTACATGACGCTCAAGCACAAACATCCAGAAACAACAGGCATATCAGTCATCTATCTCGAATGATACCAGTAATCAAACTCACACTAACAATAGGTTGTAAACACTGTATATGCGGTGACCTCACTGTAGCAAGAAGGCATATGAATTGGGACAAACTCACTATACGACCTTATATACACGCTACATAACAGAAAATAGAATGACCGGTGGAAAGTCAACAGCATTGATTTCATACATTGTCAAATCCAATGTAACCTGTTGACTTCTAGAATTGAATGCAGCAGATGGATTCAAATGCAGTATCACAAAGAATAAGAAATATTACTTTAAAAAATAATAGCCTCTATCTGTTGATTCATGAATGTGTTTTACTAACAGGAGTAGGAGAAACCATCTGCAGTTAGCTAGTTTTTTGAAGCATCAGCTTCGTAATGACTCAAAAATACTATCTGAAATATTTTAGCTAGGGTTTGAATTGAAAGATAATCGTTGAGGATATATTTTTTGTACATTAATGCATGTCTTTATATCCTATCTCAACTTAAAAGTGAGTTTTGTGTAAAAAATTCCACCTTTGTTCTTTATACACAGCTAAACACGGCAGAGCTCGAAAGTACAGGCAACCCAAACACTATTGCGATTGCGACTGTTTTATATTATATATAGATACTACTTGATGTGGAGTGTAGTTGAATATACCTTGGCGCGCAAGCGATGTTGCTATGAACTATCTGCCTCAGGTTCAACCGAGCTGAGCATTTCAATGCATGGCATAAATATTGTGCAATGTGTCTTGAATATCTTTTCACTTATACACACATTTACATTCTCGATCACCTGTTTTCTATTGATGCTGACAACGATGACACCTTGATATCTAACATCAATGAAAATATGTTTGAATGAAATAAAACAGCGTAGAAATATTTTTATGGACAGAAAAATAATACGAGTATTTCATTTAACTATAAGTCCGAAATACAAAATTATGTTCGCTTCACAAAGAGATGCAAAAAAGGTCACTACAGCGAATAATTGTAGTTATTTGAAACAAAGAATTTGTTCGAAAAATTGATACAAACCTTTAAGAGACTGATAATAGGCTCAATTGAAATATACTCAGTGATATTGGAAGTGTTACACCCCGAAGAAATCATTTCTTCAACTTGACCTTTTGGCATCTTTCACATCAAGAATGAAACGATAAGATTGTAACGAAATTTTATTGACAAGTGATAAGAGGACAAATTAATAATATGTTGGGCGACCCTCCTGAATACACTTCTGTATACGTCTAGGCATCGACAAAATAAGATGAGCAATGTCTGGTTGTGGCACCCCATTCCAAGCAACTCGAACTTCGTAGACTAGCTATGGCAGAGTCTATGGCGGATGGTGCAAGGTGGATAGTCAACTCCCAATCATATCCCACACATTTTCGATGGGACTTAAATCCGATGAGCGGGGTGGCCACGACAAAACAGTAACGCCTGCTTCTTGAAGACAGTCCGTAGTACGATGAGCAATATAGGGACGTGCGTTGCGTTGCTGAAAAAGGACGTGTGGTCATATTTCCTTGAACAAAGCGAGGGGTGATCGGCTGCCATAGACAATAATAGCCTCCCAAATCGTTACTCCAACTGTCTTGTGTACATGCCTTTTTTATGATTAACACTAGTAAAGAAAAGGGCAGTAACTAAAAATATCTGTACCACTCAGCTCTCAGAAACTGCTTTCTTCGCAAAAACAGATAGCATTTTAACAAAGGTAAACAAAAAACGAAGTTATAACGTTGACATTTTTTGCCACAGCATACTTTACATATAATCGTTATGTTGTTAAAAAAAAGTTGTAGTTCTTTTTTCATGGGTGTAGCACGTCTAATGTCACTGAGTATAATTGGGCCACATATAGCTTAGTACAAGTTTGAACCGTTTTTGAGTTAGCGGGCTTTTTTTTAAATTCTAGGAAAATGACAAAGTATCACGGTTTTGTATTCCTTGGAGTGCATCACTCATTCTGAAGGTCTACAGTATTGTGTAAATTACTAACTGTATTGTATTTTGTCTGATAAAGCAAAAGCCAGGTTTTGTAAACTGACTTACTACTGCTATAGAGTCATGAAAAAGATGAATTGTCTACATTGTGCGAATGAGCAAATTTATAATTCTACTACTATTCATGTAAAATGTATCTTTTGCTTTTTGTATAATTCAAGTGATATTTCGCTTGTTGTAATATTTTCTGATTTTAAAGAAGAAACACGGCTTGCACTTTTTGGTATGATGAACCATGCATAGTTGCTAGACTTTTTCATATAACCAGATTTCGATAACATAAAAATGAGAAAAACAACAGAATAAACAACGTGTTCTTGGTTATTGGAGAAACGATGTCTTTTTGTTTGACTTTGGTATTCACTCAGAATTTCAAAAAATTGCTCAGTAATGGTTCGCTTTTGTACTAGAACATGATGGACTGTATTTGTATTAATTGGGTTGTACTATTAGCCTCAAAAAAGGTTTGTTCGGTGTTACAAACGTTGAAAGAATTAGACAAAAATAATGAAGATCATATTAATATATTAGTACCATGTATCACGAATCTACTGAAAAGAAAGGTCAGTACTGATGTCAGAATTATATTGTCATCGTTAACTTTTCTCAATCTTTAAAGTCTGCGGAAAATTCACTACACTCCAGCTTACGATATGAATACAGAAATATCGTCGATATATTTTGCATTATATGAATGACGCTACTCAGGCGTTTCTTGTTTGATCTGTAGTTAGGTCATATGATAAGGGCTAGCACAATTACAAACTCAAAACACTACAAAGACAAACGTATTTCATACAATCAAAAAGCGCTCTTGGATCAAAGCTTTATGTTGAAGAAATCGTGATCTGCATATGTTTTCAAGACACATTTTTATAGGATTACGGGTAATTCGCCTCATCCGTTCCACAGCGTGATGAGAGACCTAAAACGCAACATTCTGTATATGTATGGTCGAAAGTCAATAATTTTCGAGACTTCATTTATTTCGATTTTTCAACAATCACCACAAAAAGCTGTGTTACAAATCCAGATGAGTTCAATTGACTTTTGTAGGTTATACTGTAGTTAAGCTAATGCAATCATAAAAGAAGCCAAAATATTTAACCCAGAAAATTACACCTGTTTCAAATAATAAAATAGCTTCCTTCTAGGTAAAATAAAACAAATACTACGAAATTTCTCAGAAAATCTTGTATAGAGAATTGGCAGATATTATTCACCTTATTTTAGTACGAACTACCAAAATTAATCCAACATATTTTTTTTATCATTCAGATTCGATTATTCGACTTTGAGTGACTATTTTAAAATTCAAAAACTAAAAAACCATGATGACAATTTTACCTAAGACCGATGATCATAGAAGATTGCGTTTGTAATATAGAAACCTTGACACATGAGTATAAAGACACATTATTATACAACTTCTTTCCTGTATCCATTTCTTGATTGGAAGAAGCCTAGTTATTTGTAACAATGATACTGCTCAATTCCAAGTATTTATGATCTCAAATCAATGTCACAGTTTCAAAGGATACTATTCGATCAGATCCTTTTGTTATGTATGTATTAAATTTCTCATAAGCGTATACGTTAACGGCAGGTGTTTAGTCCAAAATACCAATTAAGGTAAAATCCTTTTGTCCAGGCAATATATTCTCCTATTTTAATTAAACCGTTATTATTTACTGCGGGTGCTCTCAGCTAGTAAATATGACTCACTTAAATTGCTTTTAAACCCATTTATCTAGGTGTGCTCTACAGTGGTATTTTATTGACGTAATAATATCTCAACATTGAATTAAGTTTTAACTCTGGATTAAACTATGTTTAAGGTATAGATAAACAGGTCTCTAGAGTAACCTATGAGCACATCAAGTAATTCGTGGTCATTAAACGCGCTGTTTTCGTTGTCATAATACTTGCATTGCGTAAAATGATTAGGTGAAAAAAGTGCCGACAGTCACATACTGTTACGGTTAATTGAAAGTTTTTTGCATTTTGTATACAGTTTCAGATGCCTGGTAATCCTATTAAATATAGTGATTTGACTTTTAATGCTAAAACTTTTCAGCCACGGTGTGCTCGTTTACTTTAATTGCGTTCAAAATGGAGCAGAATATAGGAGGCTTTTGTGTTAAGTCCTTCTATGAAGTATCCTAGTATCACACCCTTTTGAAAGTCAATCAAACTTGTATCGATTCTTCAATTATTTATCAAACTGTTATTTTGATTTGTACAAAGTTATGGCATTATATTTTCTTGAAAACTGGTTATAGATTTTACGTGGCGACTCGTGCAACATCATCAAGGCACGTCTTTCTTAATTGTGGTAGCCCTACGCATTCATAATTGGAAGATCATGATTCTTCCTAGAGCAATTTTCTTCGCTCTCCGTTACTTGATACTCCATATAACATAGATGTATATCTTGGTAGCGTATTCCTCAGAATATATAAATATGAGGAGATACGGCTAAGTACATCACCATTAAAGCATCCCACTCTGATAAGCAGGGTCCATAATTGACTAGTTTTGAAAACGCTTCTACCCTCGAGGATAGCCAGAATATAACCGACAGATGCGTGACCTCGTAATTAGTCACTAACATGTAGCTTTTTAGAATCAAACAAACCCCCCACATGTCACGATGTGTCTTCTGCTTTGTTATGTGGAGCATCAAGTAACGACTTTCTCTTTCCGCACTAAAGGAATGACAATACTTTTCTATCTCTATCTTTCTTCACTATCTACAGCATGTTTTCAACATATTTAAAGATACAAGCCATGTCTGAAATGATAATTCATTTTCTACCATTAAACTGGCGATAACAATTAAATAGTGATGAAATATTGGAAGGCTGTACTTTTTGGCTTGTGTAGAACACTTTGGACTCTTCAATTTTTTCAAACCTCTTCTTGACGCTTGCCCATAGAATGTAGCTGGAGACCTGCCTGATAGGTAGCATATCAAAACTACAAATAAGTAGCACATGAGTTATTCTAAGCTAATGGTACAATTTTTGATCTATAAATATACCCTCTAGTCATCTAATAACTCGTAGTGTAAAGTCAGGACATAATAATTACATGTTTGTATCGATGGTTGATCTTATTTATAGTTTGTTACAATTCATACTGGAAACAATGTTCATTTAAATCAGCGTCGATACAAACAAGTTTGGACAGAAGGAATAAGGAGCACTAATTTAAGTTCCTTCTACCACAATTCCAATCCCTAAAACTCGATACTAAAGACTTCCCAACTAATGGTATGAGATCTGAACTTTGAGAGTTAGTTTAGTTGTAAAAAATCATCACCATTTTCATTATTTGAGTAGATGTTATGAAGTTATAGTTATAGTAGGAGTTTCTTTAGAATGAAAAATCAATTCTTAAGACTAATATATAAGATATAGGAATTTATTTTCTATAATCTCCATATCTAATGCCTATGACAACAATTCTATTAGCCCTGAGTAGAAGTTTGTAAAAACCCTGTATTATATGTAAAAAAATCCTGTAAGATAACTTCCCCTTACGTAACATAGCATTTTTTGAAAGATCCTTGCTACGAAAGGAAGAACGTATTCGTGTTGTGAGATATTTTCAGGCAAATCTCAAAATTATTCTTGGGTATCGTTTATAACAATATTCAAAGTGGAAATGAAGATAAAACTCATTTGTGCAGGTTGTTCTCAAAGGAAAATATCTCAGTTCTCTGAATCCTTGTATTTGAGAGTATCTACATTGAAAATTTTTATAAGCAGGGCCCTTAGATCCATCAAAATTTGCAATAATGAATATTTTCTCTTTTCTAGATGATTAGAGGAGATTTTTTTCGATTTGCCGCTTACTTTGTTGATTTGAACAATAAATCATCGAAACACTATACACTAGACACTTTATAAAATAGCTTTACACCTTTCACGATATGATACCACCCCACACACACACACCTATAACCACACATACAATTTTTTCTTCTGGCTTTTGTGCAATTTGCAAAAATGCGTACGCTGGAAACATCTTATTCAAGAGCTGATTATTTGCGTTGGGATTTGAATTTTGTCAGTGGTCCTTTATCAAGCTTGTTTCTAATAACTGTAGTAATTATTTATTACGACTAAACTCGTACAGAGTTAACATTCTTTGACGGCGGTATCAATATATTTGGCTCAATGTAAGTCACATTTTGTTTTTATTTTGCTGTCAAGCAAGTAGTATTAACGTGCATGCTTATTGGGTAGAAGCAAAGCAAGTTCGTATGTCTGACATTGTATCTCATATAACATGAAATATAAAGCCTAAAAAGACATAGAGTAGACACGGATGTGTTGATATTTTCTTCCATCCTAAATATATTTCACAGTTTGAGGCTTGCGATAGAATGAAATTAATAAACTGATATTTTTTACTCGCAAGGGTTTCGCTTATGTAGTTTGTAGATTCAAGGTCCTCAAACGTACACATAACTATAGGTTTCACACTTTGAAATCTGACACTTTGCGCCCACAGCCGCCACACGTTATGCCACCGAACGTTCGTTTCATTCGCTGGTTTCATTACCCCGCAATTTTCCTTAAATTGGCCAGATGGATCCCGGAATAATAGCTTTCAACTAGTAAACAAGAGAGGAAGAATCTGTAAACTGAGACTGGAAAAACGATTCGCATGTATAAAAATACTCGAATACGTCGAACACTGGGCAATCACGTATTTTTTTGGAAAAAGTTTCTAAGAAGAGTTTCGTATCCAAAAAGCAACATCTCGATGACGTTAAAGGTCATCTGGAGGTCAAATTTGTGAATCTAAAGGACAAGTACTATGTTTAACAACAGATGCGTGTTGAGTTTTTTAAATTGTCAACATGCACTAGCCGCTAGTTCATTTCGCACCTACACCAGTGGAAAACCTACATAATGTCAAGAAAACTTACTTAACGTCATAAAAATCGTTATAATGTCACTTTGTCGGTGAACTCAAATATGACTTAGACAATGGCCTCAGAGGTAATTACCTGTTCTACAAACCTTAGCCAGCTCAAAAATCTAATTTACAAAGTTTTTTTAAGCTCTTCATGGCAGCCGCGCTGCCCGGACATTCAGGCATACGCAGCAGCTTCTGTGTTAAAACAGCAGATTCGTGTCGAGGTCACAGTGCATTTTTATACATAAAATCGGGCGGCCATGACTTACTGTAACTTCTGAAAAGTACACGAACACTCCAGAAACTTGAAACTACGCATTTTTTGGAAAAAATGTTCCGCAAAAAGTTTCATGATATCAGATAAGCAGTTTTTTTGATTACCTTAAATATGACAGGGAATGACCTGAAACGTAACAGGGAGCTCGACACGAATCTGAGGTTGTTATTGAATTTACAAACTTGACCTCCAAGCAACTTCTGAGGTCATTGTCTAGATCATGTTCAAGATCATTGACAAATTTTTAATTCCTGAAATTTTTATTAGAATGTTTTTACACAATGTCAGGCTTCCGTGGTGTTCAGGTATTTAATAATCTACTTGCTAAATTTTCAAGGCAAAGAAATGAAAAGCCTCTTTCACCGTTCATCAATTTATAGGACTTATGATTTGAAAAATCTCAATATTTCGAAAATATAGGTTTGACAGTGCCTAAATTATAAGTATAGAGGTTGATAAGGGACCACGAACATCAGACTAAGTCATATTTTCATGGTGACTAACTCAAATTAGAACTTACAGTCCTCATGGTACAGCTCTGAATGGGGTTGAGCAGGTAAGGGGATTTAGGAAGTTAATGAGACTGATGTCCTGTTTTTGTAGTAAAACGGTAACTAATTTTGATTGAAGTGTTTCAGCCTATCCTGACAACACGTGTGGGCCCCAATAAGGTAGGTTTGTAAAATTCCTACTAGTCATGCTTTCCAACTACCAACATTTCCTGTAATATATTGTTCTTCTTGACTATATTGAATTTCAAAATTAATTAATCATTTTACTTTGTATCCATGCTACTACGAATATATTAGCGTTTTTAAGTCAACATCAACTTTGTCTTTGCAAAGGGAAACTGTTTTAACAGTATCTCAAAATTGACTATTCCTATCACCAATTCGAGATACGACTTTATCATACCTAATCGTTACCAATTTTACATCCAGATATCGTTTATTCATCAAATAACGCAAACGAAGCATCTCGCTGAAAAACTTACCTTTGAGGTATGGTGTATGTAAAACCTCGATATAAAAAATATGAATTCTGAGTATTATCGCCATGTAGCTTGATCTTAGTTGATCTGCTTGTAGCGTATATAATTCAAAGTTGCAAACGAAAATTGTTTCATACTCTATTGATTAATTTGCCCACCTCGCCGGTCGGCTTTCCTAACGGTCTACCTATCATTTGGTTTTCAAAACATAAGGGTTGCAGCCTCTATAACCATTATCATCAAACTTGCGAAGATGTGGTGTAGCAAGTAGCAAGAAACGTTATGGTGTGAAAACATTCCCCACATAATTTTCTATTAATGCTTCAGGCAATTTTAAAAAACTGACTATTTATTCGTTCGCGGACCTATCGTCATAATTTTTTGTATACGCCCTCTGCGATCAGTGCTCTGAAGCGTACGAAAATAGTGCTTCATAAAAACCCGAAAAACATACAAAGAGCTAAAGTATACAGTTATTTTGATCATCTTGTTTTCCGACTTACTTATATTTGTGATTACAATGTACGTGCGTATATACCTACCATGCTGAGAAGTAATAATAATAATAATAATAATAATATTTATTCACTCAATGTACAAAGATAACAAAGAATATGAGTAAATAAATATAAAATCAAAACAGGCCCAATAGAAGGCATCGCCTGAACATGGACCAATAAATTTAAGTTGAAACTATAGAATGCAAATGACAAAAAAGGACAAAAATTAGCTACAGTAGATTATGTATTTAGTTGATGTTCGTATTTATGAGTTTATGAATTTCAGTCCTAGATATAGAATGTAGCCACTTTTTTAAATTTCTTTTGAAACAATTTCCGAAACGTAAATCTTTTAAGTCTTCAGGTATAATTTCATAAAATTTAGGCGCTAAATAGAGATATGATCGCTGCATTATAGATTTATGCGGTTGAGGAACTACTGTGCCACGAATTTTGTACCTGGTATAATGATTATGTTTAATTTTTTGGTCGGTGTTTACAAATTTATGGTAGTGAGTGATACTGTGTAAGAAATAAAGCTGTCTTATATCATACATTCGAACATCTGCGTATAATTTTTCAGTGGGATAAAGTTTCGGTTTTTTAAATATCATTTTTAGAATACTTTTTTGAAAAACATCTAAATTATAGATATGTGAGGAACAAGCAGCTCCCCATGCTAATATACCATATGTGAGATGAGGCTCAATCAGTGCATGGTATAATGTTCGAAGATATTTTTCTGTCAATATATTCCCAAGGTATTTAATTTTGTAGGATACAAATCTAACTTTCTTTAAAATATAATTGACATGGATGTCCCATCGTAAGTGAGGATCCAAGACCACTCCAAGGTATTTTATGTTGGGCACTCTATTAATTTGCATTTTTTGATCATTAATATTGAAGGAGAAATTTGTGTAATTTGGCAGATGTCTAGCATAAGATCCAAATGGTAAAAAATGTGTTTTAGAGTAGTTAATGCTTAATTTTCTACTGTTAAACCACCGAATAATTTTGATAAAATCATTTTCAATTACATTTTTCAGATCAGACCAGTCAGTGCCTTCATATAATATTGCAGTATCATCTGCAAAACTAGTTATTTTGCCAACACAATTAATTTGGAAAATATCATTTAAATATATATTGAATAACAGCGGACCTAAGACAGTTCCTTGTGGGACACCACACTTAATATACATTTCTTTACTAAATGATCCTGATATCTGCACAGATTGTGGGCGATTTGACAAATAACATTCGATCAGTGAGTACG